GTAGTAGCCTTTTATCCTTCTAATGATCAACAATTGTGCACAAATATAAATGTTAAATTATCGAGGTTAACATTTTAATTTGCACACAGCGTTAGTATTGGATCAATTAAAAGCTTATAGCAGTGTATCTAACAAACATCACAGATTGTTTTCGAACCAAGTAGCATCTGATACTCTTCCTAATAAAAGTCAGTCTCTATTATTTTCGTGATCGAGTCGAAATTTGTACAGCATACAAATACGCTATAACAGTTCAGTTAGTCACTTAACGTTGCTTATTAGAGAATGCATCAGCAGACTAAATATTACTGTTGCCTGTTATCAAAGAAAATCTTCGAGAATAAGATATAACATATTGGGGAAATATCGTGAACATAAACATGACAGAATTATTATTATTATTATTAGTCCCTTGGGTTCCTAGTGGAACATAGGGCTTCAGTAGCACGCCTCCAGTGACCTCTGTTCTCTGAGATCTTTTGAACCTGGTTCCACGACAGCCAACAACCTCACATTTCCTCTTCGCATGACCTCCTCCATGTCACCCTTGGACGTCCAACTCGTCGCTTCCCATGGGGATTCCACTCGAGGGCCTGACGCGTGATGTCCTGAGTCGGCCTTCTCAGTGCATGGCCAATCCATCTCCACTTCTTCCTGCATATTTGTTGCGTGATAGGTTCTTGGTTGGTTCGTTCCCAGAGTTCCTTGTTGCTTATTTTTTCTGGCCATCTGATCTTCGGCAGCGAGCGTAAGCAGTTGTTGATGAATGTCTGTAGTTTATTGGAAATGCCTTTCGTGACGCGCCAAGTCTCTGAGCCATACAAGAGCACTGACTTGACGTTGGTGTTGAAAATCCGTATGTTGTTCCGCATGCTGAGTGCAGAAGATCTCCACCATGGTTTCAGGCTAATGAACGCCTGTCTTGCTTTTCCGATTCTGACTTTGACGTCCTCGTCCGTCCCGCCTGTAGTTGAAACAGTGCTTCCTAGATAAGTGAAGGAGGTTACTTCCTTCAAGTTTCTCCCGTTGACAGTGATTGGAGTTTGTTGTTGTTGATGGTGGTGGTGCGGTATCTTCATCACTTCTGTCTTCTCTATATTCACCTGAAGTCCCGTCTTAGCTGCCTCTTCTATCAACTTGTTAGTTTTTGCCTGCAGATCTTCAAGTTTGTGTGACATTAGGCATAAGTCATCGGCGAAATCCAAGTCTTCTAGGTTCTTTTCCGTCGTCCAGTGTATCCCCCTCTTCTCGCTGCCTACTGTTTGCTGCATGATCCAGTCCACCACAATAAGGAATATCATGGGGGATAGTAGGCAACCTTGTTTCACTCCTGTCTTCACTTCAAAGGCATCACTGAGCTTCCCATTGTGGATTACTTGGCATGTGGCATCTTCATATAGTTGTTGAATGAGGCGGATAAAGGTTTGCGGCACTCCGTAGTAATGAAGCAGTTTCCAAATTACTTCTCGGTCGACGCTGTCAAAGGCCTTCTCAAAGTCGATGAAGTTGAGGTAGAGAGCTGATTGCCATTCTACGCTCTGTTCTATGATGATACGAAGCGTTGCAATTTGGTCTGCACATGATTTGTACTTCCTGAAGCCTGCCTGTTCCGGTCGCAGTTTTGAATCCAGTGCGTCTTTAAGCCTCTCCAGGATGATGCGGCTTAATATTTTACTTGGGGTGGATAGGAGAGTGATTCCGCGCCAGTTCTTGCAAGCACTGAGGTCTCCCTTCTTCGGCAGTTTGACAAGGTAACCCTTCTTCCAATCATCAGGTACCTTCTCTTCCCTCCACACCTTCTGCAATAGTGGTGTGAGCATGTCCGCTGTTGTCTCTGCATCTGTTCTCAGTGCTTCTGGCGGTATTCCATCTGGTCCTGCTGCTTTCCCGCATTTCAGTAGCTTTATGGCGTTCAGGACTTCCATTTTCGTTGGGGGATTTATGTTCACTTGTAATTCAGCGGCTGCAGGTGGTATTTCTGGACGAAGTGCAGGTGGTGGTCGATTCAAGAGCTTCTTGAAGTGGTCGGCCCATCGTTTCCTCTGTTTCTCTTCTTTTGTAATTAAATTTCCTTCTTCATCTTTTATTGGTTTCATCTGTGTTGGTCTCTTCCCTGACAGCAACCTGGTTATTTGATACAATGTCGTCAGGTCTCTCTTACCTGCAGCCTGTTCTGCTTCACTTGCCAGTGTTTCGTAGAAGTGTCTTTTGTCGTTGCGTGCACTCTTCTTCACTTCTTTGTCCAGTGTTTTATACATTGTGCTCAGTTCCTCTTGTCGTTGAGCATCCTTGCACTGGTTTATCTTCCGCTTCACCATCCTCCTCTCCTCTATCAGCTTCCAGGTATCCGTCGAGATCCATTCCTTGTCTTCCACCTTCTTCCTTCCTAATACTGTTGTGCAGGTTTCTTTCCACATAGCTTTCAAAGACTTCCAATGTTCTTCCACACAAGTTTCTTCAGGGATGTCCCTCGATGTCTCCCATTTTGTCTTGATGGCTGCTTTGAAGATCTCCTTTGTAGTTTCATCCTTCAGTTTCCGAGTGTTGTACTTGAACTGAGGTCTATCACCAGCTTCCTTGAAGGCTTTTAACTTGATTTGGAAGGTTCCTTGCACTAGGTAGTGGTCTGAACCTACATCTGCTCCTCTTCTTGACCTTGTGTTAAGTAGACTGCGTCTCCATTTTCTTGAGATTGAGATAAAGTCGATTTGATTTTTAGTGTGTCCATCTGGTGAAATCCATGTCGCTTTGTGGATATCTTTGTGCCTGAACACACTGCCTCCAATCACCAAATCGTTGAATGCGCAGAATTCTGCAAACAATTCTCCATTCTCATTCATTTCACCTAGCGCCTCTCGACCCATGGTTAGTTCTCTTCCCGTGTTGTCCCCTCCCAGTTTGGCATTCATGTCACCCATTAGAATTTCGATATCACCAACTGAAGTCTTGTCCAGTGTTGATTGAAGTTGTCTGTAGAAATCCTCCTTTTTCTCTTGCTCTGCATTATTTGTAGGTGCATAACATTGTATGATTGTGACCTTTCTTCCTTTTGAGTTGAATCTTGCTGTCATGATCCTGGAGGAGATTGGTTCCCACTGCATGAGAGCCTTCGATGCTCTTGAGGACATCATGATAGCCACTCCCTCAGTGTGCTCGTGGTTGTCGTCTGGGTGACCGGAGTAGATTATTGATTCTCCAGTTGACAGTTTGGAGAGTCCACTCCCATTCCATCTGCTTTCGCAAATCCCAAGCACTTCGATGTTATACCTTCTCATCTCGTTTGCAATCTGGGCTGCCTTACTGGGTTCAAACATCGTGCAGACATTCCATGTCCCCACGTTTACTTTCGCTTTCATCGAGAGAAGACACATCGGCCAATTGGCTTCCCGAAGGCTTTCACCAACTGGCGTCATTTCGCCTCTCCGATTCCAGCGGGGAATAAGTTTGTTTTCATTTTTTATATTTTGTTTGTGCTTTGAAGTTTCTTTAGCGGTTAGATTTGTTTTCCGGGGTAGGGTTGCTAGCCCTATGCCCAACCTTCCCTCTTTACCCGGGCTTAGGACCGGCTAGTAACTAGTAAACTAGTTAACCAGGCGAGGTTAAACATGACAGAATAGTTCAATATTCTTTCATGATAGCAGAGTTCAAGTAAAAAACTTCTAACTTCCCAATAAAGATACTGTGTACTCCTGAGAAGAATGAATTGATTGTAATACTTTGAAAACGACAACCTCAGATCACTATCTGTTAAGCCGTCTGAGATTTCCACGGCTTTGCAGACTTGTATTATTCATACTACACTGGAAGACTACAGAGTAGAGGGGAGTGCTCTATTATTGAGTCAACCTCTTCTAGTCCCTCTTCCCTTAAAGAAGTCAGCACTATCCGTGGAAAACACCTTTCTACTGTTCTAACTCATCCATCCTGAAGTACGATTTCACCCTCAAGCCTTATCACAGAGTTGCAATTTACAATGAAACGTTGACTGAATTTCGTTTTACCCCTACCCAACTAACCTTCCTCTCATAGTAGGACCTTAAACAACAAGCCCACTAGTCAGTGTAGCTTGTTGAGCCATTCTGACATAAAAGCTCAACCACCATGTGAAAATAACAGCCTTTAGATGAGTAGGGGAGCTGTTGTGGAAGTACCTGGTGCCATTGCTGCATCATCCAAGAACCAAGCCGCTAGCCTGGAGATCTCTGATTAGAATCATACCGCGGTTCAGATTTTCATTTCACCTCCAGTCACCGTCCATCATGGATAATACAAGTCAGCCAAACCACAACCATCTCAGATAGTCAAACTGATTAGTGATATATCCACTTGAACCCAGAAAACGTGCATACCATTCATTTAGAGGAGTTTTACACTTAGCAGAAACAAAATTCACATGATATTCATAAGATATCTCATTTTTGCGGCTCACCAATCAACAGTGGTAGATGTCTCAATATCTTGGACTAACCTCCTCTCCATATAAAGAGGGTGAGACTCCTCTGAATTTACTGTAATGTTTTGCGAAGACAAGTTTAATAATGGAACTGTTCACAAGAATTATGGGGGAATGCTTCATTTCCATACGTTCAGGACAGTGTTCAAAATCAGCTCAGTAATTATATTATCATAACAATAATGAGTGTAATGGCGTCTTTAGAATAGACAGTTTGAGGAGTCACATTTATTCAAGAAAAATGAGATTACACAATGGACAAAACACTAGCTACAATAAAAGTATCAAATTTTGAAAGAAAGCCAAAACAAACGTCGATCAAAAAATAAAGTTAAGAGATGCAAAACGTTTATCTTTGAGTTTGTAAGTTTTATCTTGTTTTCAATTCTGAAATCCATTCTGGTTAAGACATGTTATTTTCAATAACAGTTGATTGCATGAAGCTCTCAAAGAAGAAGATGAAGGACAAAGCAAACAAATGACTTTATACGTGAGAGTAGATGGTTGAAGCTAGTATTCTTCCCTTCCTTTTGACTAATTCTATAGATCAATACATCTGTATTTCTTGCCAGTCACAAACTTGTTCTTCTGGTCTTTCAATCATTGCTCTCCACTGATCAACACCACGGCCTTTGGAAACCATTTCACCTCCAAGGACAACAAAACCGAGTTGTTTATCTGGATTAGAAATAAAAGAACGAATTCGAAATTTAAACAGTAAACTTTATATTTCATGTATTTTATTCATGCTTAGTTCGCTACTGCTTAAACTACAAGGTTAATGCAACATACTGATGTTTGAACAACTTATTATGCATCAAGTAATATTTTGCAAATTAGTTATTTTTGTGGAAAATAGTACTTCACCATATATCATTTATCTATTGTAGCGTACTTTTTCCTCATAAATATGAACTACTTAGATGAATTGTCAGCTGTCTGTTTACTCATTTCCAAAGTCAGAGAATCAACTGTCAAATGTCTGACAATAAAATGCAATTAATCCACTTCTGGGTTGTCAGAACACAAATTAGTTTCAAATGTTAGAAATTTATGAAATCCATTATCACTTGAGCTTGACTGAAAATAACTACTAGTTTTAAATTAAAACCTTGGCTATCAAAGTACTTGGTTGAAGAATGACGGAGACTTTAAGAGCACCATAGGATGCACATATACTTATATGCACCTTAAAACCAATCCTACGTTTGTTGCGGCTAGTAAAGATAAAGCAGAACATTGAAAGTATTCTGAGAAAATTACCTTAGTTTCGGTAACAATTTTTATAACAAGTTTAGCACCATAAGTTATTCTTATCATTTTATGATAAATGAAACCGTACAAGTTGTACTACATGGTGACAGGTAGATGGTTTCACACTAAAATATTGAGTCTTCTGTGTCTATGAGTTAGGTGTACCTGTACTTTCAATAGTATAAAAATATTCCTGGTTAACAATTTAATTCGTTCATCTATAGAAAGGCTGGAAATTTTCACATAACACGCAAAAGGAAACAAATAACGCTGAACCGAAGTATATGACTGTCTTAAACATAACGATTTAGGAATATATCATGGCAAGATGTGAATTTATTAACAATCTTTGCGAATGCTAAGAAGCGGTACGGAAGGGAGTTTTGTATTCCACTGTCATGATCACTTATAAACAAAATTTATTTACAACCCACAGAAAATAATTAATAATTGAATAAGAGATTATGCTTTTAATAATTACCACTTTGACATTAAAACCTCTGAGGCTTGTTGCAGCATCTGTAATCTGAACAACATTTTAGTCAGTGTGTTTTGACATTTCAGAGTAAGCTTTCTTCGAAAACGTATGTGCACAAAATATCCATTTATTTGAGAATTTCACTTTATAACTAATATTTGTGTCAAGGAATTATCGCTTTCTTGACTATCATGACTATCCTATAAACACAAATCATATTAAGTGTTCAATTTTAGCACAAAGAGTGAGTGCGGTTGTGAGTTGGACGACTGAAAAAACCAATAGATGTTCTATAGTTCAAAATGTCAGCGTATGCCATCGAGCTGTAAAAAGCTTCACGCTACGTTCAACCTTGTTTTCTACTCTTAAATTAATTTGACTATAGGAAATTGTGGTTTTAGTAGAAACACCTGAACCTATGATGATTTTATAATATGATAAACAATGCCTCACTGATGACTAGTTGTCGAATTTCTGTAAATAAACTAAACACTTCTCATGGGCTACATCAAACGAATGACCGGAAAATTGTTCATTGGTTATAATGCTTTGCACAAGATCTATTGCTAGGTCCTAATTCAAATTGTATCATATTCCATGTTCTAGACAGAACACAGGCAATACCAAGGCATCCGAGCAGCAGCCTACATGTCAATAGAGACCGGTTAATTATGTCCACTCAGCGACTGGACTATACAAGTGGTGACATTAAAAACTATACCCATCACAGAGGAAGTGGCTGTCGTAACTCTGTGGCCTAGTGAATAACGGTCTGACGTTTAAAGAGACCGGTGATGGGTTCAAGTCTAAGTGGGAACAACATCGCTCACTGGGAGGGAGACGCATCCATCCGATGGGTCCCAAACAGAATAAAATGATCATCTTAGATTCCACTGCTGGCCATTATTCATCATTGATATATAAATGCAGTATAAGGTTTGATCATCCTCATGGGTTTATTCTCGACCACATTTTGATACAACTCTTTGCTTTCCTGCAGGAAATCAAATTGTGATTTATTTTCCCTTGAGTTTCATTTCATGAAAGGTAGTTGGTTTTCAAAAATCATTCATTGCCAAGGCAAACAAACAATATTTATATTTACGTCTTAATGAAGTTTGGCTAACCAAGCATGATAAGATAGATAATAGTCGACAGTGAGCATTACCAGGAAGTTGAACTTTCGAGCAGTTGAATCTGAAAATGTGCTGAGTTGACAGAGTAGAAATGGTGTAAAAAACATTGAAAGCCCAGACGAGTTATGGAACAGGATAATTACATGTGATAAGTGGATAAGTCAACCTTAAGAGCAATCACCAGCAAATAAAATTCGTTAAGGTGTTTTGAAAGAGTTTCGCTACAGTGGTCAAATATCTTTAAGACCCAGAGCATGGAGTTATCCAGGGCATTCCTACAAGATGGGATGAAAAAAAAGGTTCAGACATTTATGTTCATCTGATCATGCTTAGACAAGTGGGTGATTTTTACGGTTGACATTTTTACAACTGTTTGAGATTATCATAAGCCTCCTGCCTTCAAAACATATGAAATTCTTCCATCACAAGTTCCGTCTCTATTGACTGTTTTAAATATCATCTCTTCATTAACCACAGTAACATTATTGCCTTTCGGGTTTACCCCTTTGTTGAATTTTTATTCCTCCTTCTTTACAGCCTTTATCACTTTTTGCCAACCTGAGAACTTTTAGTAACGCAATAGCATACTTTTAATTGTGTTTTAGCATCTTACATCCTTTCCCGTTTTCATTATTGATTTAATGGTCTACTACTGAAATGATGAACTGAATCCTATATAGACATGCATACAAGGTACGCTATTATGTACATCTCTCCGTCAGCTAGTATGTTTTAAAAGATTGAGCGCAACCGGAGAGAAGACATACGTTAAAATGACTACCATATTTTGAAAATAGTATTCTGTTCACAAAAATATGAAGTCTCAAGAATTCATATTTTGGTCTGGTACCCAAAGGAAATTTCTAGTTGTGATAGAAAGTTTTTTAGATGGTTCTCCAGTTGCATGTTCTGATGTACAAATACAAAAGGATATTCAATCCCAGAAAAAATAAGATATCGTGGAACCAGCAGACTGCATTGCATAGTATGTATTTCCAGATTCAAATGGCTCTTGGCATTTACCAGACAATTATAAGAGGGACAAATGAACTTAGTTCTCATGAATATAAAGTCACTTAAAGAAGGTAATTAAACAAGAGGAAATAGAACAAGCATAAGCTGTTGTGTGCTTTTCAACGAAAGCCCCGACAAAATAATATACGTAACTGTTTTCTCCTAACCTTCAGTTACTTTTTGATCTGATAGCAGTTTTATTAAATGTAACCTGTAGAATAAAGTGATACAAGCCTCAGACATTCGGAACTTCTTAAATGCTGTTTGCTTGATTTAAAGCAACTTAATATCTACTGGAAACCCATTAGTCATCAGTGTATCAGAGAACAATCGATCGACTCACCGATAAATCCATGTTGTACAAGTGTAATTCTGACATTTATACTAGATGGATCTGATATTTTTTGAAAAACGAATGATTCATTAAAGCTTTCCCTTGATCCAGTGCTTCAGTTCGTTTAGCTTTCAACTCTCTGCCTTGTATTCCTCGACATACTACGATTTTTGCATAGAGATCTTTAGACAAAGAAAACATAATGCGAAATGAACAGGCTAATTTTTCATTTGATAACTTCATGAGTATTGTCAAAAACTTGGCAATTTAATATATTTAATAAACGAAATCTATGAGCAATTAGACAGGGCCAATAATGAAGAAAATTCAACTTAGCATTGATGAGAACTAATTCATCTTTGTGCACTTTGCATTCAGAAATGTTGAATCTGCAATTGACCTGGATACGAATTACTTTTTACAGTGGAACTGAATTTATCAGTCTGACAAACAGGTTTGTTTGTATGAAGAGGCACTCTTTAGGGAGGTAGAAAGTATACAACTTGCCTTCCGATATTGCCTATAATTATGTATACCACTTCGAATAAACTTACCAAATCAAGACTAATAAAAGCAACACAAAAATGGATTATTTTTTTAATCAGTCGGTGGTTTGTGGGGTTCGAATGATTCGAAAGTATATTCATCACAGAATATTCGTGTTGTCGCATGAGTTGTGAAGAAATCGGGGACATGCAGATTTTTAGATATGAAAATACTTATCAAACATTTGTGACAAAACCTAATTAAATTCCTAAAATTCATTGAAAAAGCTTGTCAACTTAGATATACTGTATTCCGTGTTACCGCACTTGTCAAAAACCCACATCCAGTTTGCTCATTTAAAATGTGTGTTAAGTAGTTGTGTCTAACCGCACTTTAACATACATAAGGTGGTCAGTTTACTGTCCCTTCCCGATTTTGAATCTTTTGCAAAACATTGAAATCACCTTAATCCTCTTAACCTAATTTTTACGCTGCTACCGATCTGGCCTCTCTTTTAATCAGAACCATACGTTTCGTGCCATATGGTATACTTTCTCAACTGCAAATTATTCCGATTGCTAAACACTGATGTCATCTTTAAAGCTAGTCACTATTCAGATGTCATCAGCGTCAAAAGTATGTGTTCATTTTTTGACATACATAATTTCACATAAATCAGGACAAGAGATATAAGCAAACAATATTGTTCTTACATCTCTTTTCCTGATTTTCACTATGGAAACCTTTATAACTTCATATAAATTTAGGCTCCGAGTGCCTGAAAAAACATTCAGTTGAATGGGAGAATGTTCCTTCACAGCTTTATTTCCTGCTTCACTCAAATGAAAATCTAACTATCCCTTATCTGGTAGTCTAAAAGTAGCTCGATTTTAGATTTCAACTGATCAACACTTAAGTTTTAAGTTGGACAGTTACCGGACATGATTTTAATCAAGCGGTTATTTAAATATTAGGTTTCAAATTTTAAAAATAAGTGACCAACAATGTTTGGATGTCAATGTGTTTTCAAGGGTATTCTTCTGAAATATCTGTCTTTCTTTCTTTTCTTTGATGAAAAATATGTATTAGTAATATGAACAGATCTAAGATCGAAGCTGATGATCTCCTCGCTCTCATATAATGCTGCTTGTTCCCCTAAGTTGAATATGTCTCAGAGAGTGTGATCTGTTTGCATCTGTTAAATTTGTGGTTGGTAATTAGATTTGTTTGATCTGTGACAAAAGAAAGGTGAAATGCAAAATCTCTGCCGAATAAAAACAGATTTATTTATAAACTGCTTACATTCAGCTGCTTAATAATTCTGAAACTGAAAATGAGAGACTTATGTTCTGCTTCACTTTACAATCAGGTTCTATGGACATCAAAGTGATCTGATGGTCAACGTTTGTGTGTTAAAGTGTGACTACTGGAGATTTCATTTAAGACATTTCATTAAACTAACCTGGATTATTAGAGTCACTAGATTCGTGAGCATATATGGCCATATCAGTTTAAGAGTTACTAGCCAGCTGACTAATAGAAATTATATTTAAAGCTTTCTCATAGTTTCGTCAGGACAGTCTATAAATTTTCGTCCCTGAGATTTATCATGTTATATCCCTAGCGACTTCCAAATAGTTGAGGCAGCTGAGTTCATAAAGATATTCTTCTGATAGCCAAACCGAGTAAAAAATGATGAACAATTGAGTTTTCAAAAAAATAGTATCCTCATCATCGGATTTCTTTACTAAATTATTCTCACTTACCGATGGGTACCCCGTTTTCTCTCAGTGGCAAATTTCTGCACTCAAATAATCCGACTATTAATCTTTCGGTAGACGGAAAGTATGTGAGGGCGACGAAGAGTTGAAGATTTCCGGTAGCCTATGTAAAGAGAATGCGGACTGGAATAACTATATATTTCTTTTCAACATTAGTAATCTACACATTTCAAAGTAAAGGAAAAGGTTTAATAGAGGTCAAATTTCCAATGTGACAAAAAGTTCTCAGGTTTTCATTCATAATCATCGTCGAACATTTTTGGTTTTGTATTTTTAACAAAAAACGTAAAATAGAGCTTGACTATTTCCGGACTTCATCATCTAATTAACATTGCAGGTAACTGGGATGCAATAGTAAACCTATACGTGATTTGATCATCCAAATATTTCAGATGGTTTTACGAGTTCAAAACAATTATTGTTTTCCATGAAACCTAAACCAAGTTCCATAGATTCACTTGCTTCAGTAGAACATATTTTACATAACAAAAACAGATACATAGTAATATCATTTCTTCATTATTTTTCTTGTCCAGAGTTAGCTTTTTAGCCAATCCCGATAGGCTTGGGATTCGAGAAAACAATTTTCGAAAGGCAGTTCCTAAACAATGAGATTATTTTTTTGAAATTCATCGGTGGTTATTGAGGCAGAAACACTACATGTTTGAAAGTCATGCTGAATATCAACTACTTAATGGAGCCAAATGTATGAGATTAAGTCGTACAAAGCAAATACTCGCAATTTTTTGAAGAATATGGAAACTATAAATGTCTACATCAGCGAGGCTATCTTTGTGAAACCGTCAGTAATTTCAGTAAACTCTTTAATTTGTTAAACGATGCAAATCAGTATATGCCTAATGAATCTTATAACTTCTACGATCAGCATTTAAGTTTAAAAAACTTTTCATTCCTAAAGAAATATAACAATCAAATCTAGTGGCAAGATAAGACAACTGGGTGCGAATAGTAACAATTTAAGGTGACTGCTGTATTTCAATAATTGTGATATATTGGTCACTGTATCTAATGTAGATATAACTGCAAAACGTGTACAAACCTCAGTCTAAGAAATTTACAGTCAGTTACTTTTCATTAGGGTTTTCTCATTAACTGTTTTGCTGGAATGCTTGATCATCGAGGTTCAGCGCAGTTGGCTTGAATTCCCCAGCTACAATTTGATTACAATTACGTTTTCAAAGGTTTTCCCAGGAAGATGGTTTTACAATTTTATCTGACTAAAGTTTGAAAGTTCAAATAAAGCTTTCCAACTAAAAACTCATACGGTGAATGAATGGAAATGTTAAATTGTTTTGAACAAATATGTGAGTATCACACCTGAAACAGTCTTCAAGCCTTACATAGATGCAAAGTTGAATACCAGCTTTACAAAGATAACTATAATGTATCAACATGAGCAAAAACGTCGGTCTGAATTCTCAGTTTCACATATCACAAATAGAAAAATTTTTACAAACAGCGTTTTGAAATAAAGAGAAAGACATGATGTAAACTTAATGTGGTCGGCTGTATGACAGAAAAATACTCGCTCTCCAAAGGAAGTTATATTCACGTGTGGTGAAAGACAGTAAACTGTACAAGTGGCTGAAATGATGGATTTGAATGAGATGATGCTTACTTGTATCTAAAAATCCAGTCTTTTCAACATCTCATAGCTTCGGAATATAACTTATGAAGTATTGGTGTCATTCAGTCCTGGCTTAATCACTGTGCTTCGCATGTTATGCTGCCTAAAAATGACTTTTATACATCGGGTGCCACATAAGTGTTTTCGTAAATATTTCGTTTGTCTCAGATGGATGATAACTGGAAGTGGATCCCACTACTATTCAAGGTTTTCCTAGTTGATACAATAATTAAGGCGTAGCTTCATGAATAATGAATGGCAATGATAAACTACTAAATTCTGTCATGTTTGGTACATGTTGCGACATTTGTGACACTGTAATACTTAGTGTTGTACAAAAAATACGTGAGCGCTACCCTGCAGCTATCAGAGTCACTAAGCTGGTAGGCTACTATAAAATGCAAATATTGGTATAATATCCTCATACTTGACATGGAAATTAAAACGAAGTACACTATGATAGTTTATTGCCGTTTAAACAACCGAAGTTTGTATCCGACGGTTCAGCAAGGATGGTATTAGAAACCCATAGAACACTGAAGGGTAAATTAAAAGACTGGATAAAAATATTGATGCAGATCTCTAGATACCGTTAGACACTTCAAAACTATCTGAATACATGAAGGCTCATATAATCAGACAAATCTAAACAAACAGCAAATTTTTCCAATTTATTATATATGGCTGTCTGATAAGAATGGTAAGAGAAACTCCTATTCATCCTATAGGTGGCAAAATGTCTTCAGTCATGTACTGCCCACTACATAATCATTTAAAAAAAACAACAACTGAGCAATCTGTAATACAGGAATATACGACATGCTCTGATGTTGCTTCAGTGATTTGTAACGATTTGAAACAAATGACTGTAAATTATTAGCATTCCCAGTAAGATGCAATCTATTTACCGGCTTTCGAAAATCGTACACGTACAGTAATGAGGTGTGATGTATTTAACTAATGCAATAACTCTATGGTGTTTCAATAATATTCACACAGCTATATAAATGACATTATTAAAATGTTTAACTGAAGTACTTGATTCATGAAAACATTTTCACCACACAACAGTGGTCTTGTTGACAGATGATAAGCTTTGTCTACTTGTGGTGATATCTGTGCGTGTCAAGTTTTAGTCTTTCAGAAATTTCATAGTCAATATTTAGAACCTATCTTCTATTGATGGGACTCATGAAGGCCAAATTTTCGTTGACAGTTTCATTTTATTATTGAGCTTTCATGAAATATTCATTCAAGCGTTTTTTAACGATAAAACGTCATATACTGTTTAAAGCTTTCTGCTGACCACTTAGATGATGGAATCAATAAAATATCGCTTAATTTTAATGGCATAATAAACAAGTGTGCAGATGCAATAAACTGTACAGTAGAATATTTCAGTCTTTATAACCCACCAAAACATGTTCGCACCTAAATGCCGCAAAAACAACACTCAGTTATTTCGTCATCCTAATCAAATGATTTAACTAATATGAATTAATTCAGTGAATTACTGTATGAGACTACAAAAGTTTTAAGGGTGGACGGAGAAATTAAATAGAAGGCTGTGAACAATTTAGTTCACTCAAAATGTTTCTTTCATATACTTCCTAATGTTTAATTAGTACATAAGACAACTGAAAATCAAATGATACAAATGTGACTTCCCCTTGAACTTACTTTATTCGGTAATCCATTGTGATGTTTCATCAGCGCTTGTTCCTGATTGGTCAGTCGGAGATCCAGTGAACTGTAAACTTGAAGTTGTACTAATTTGACGTAGGTTTCTAGCTTTATGTATGGTAACTTTTAGTAATTCCATTACTTTATTGTAGCTGATGGAAAACCATACTCTACCAATGTGTCCAGGCGGAACTTCGTAAAGGTCCTCTGTTTCTTGGCTTAGGTACAAAGATGGATTTAATCTACCTAAATGTCGTCCTTGTACTGAGAAAACAAAAAAGGTGATAAGCGGACTGTGACATGAATCAAACTGTGACAATACTCACCAAGTTCTCATCTATATTTAAGGAATAAGATGGCAAGATAAGTAAGCTTTCCGAAATTTAAACACTCTTGGAAACTGAATTCCGATTTAGATCTTTCAATTCCTTTTGCTCCTCATATCATTCAACTGAACTGATCGACGTCTTCTGACATACCATGTCTGTGCCACAACTCAGCTTTGTGCATCTTTCTCTAACTTTCTAGACTCGGAATCATGGGTCACAGTCCAACGGAAACGTCATTTGGTGATGCCGTTAATGAATTTCCGATAGGAATTGACAAGAGTCTTGAAGTCTTCTTTTGGCTACCACTAAACATATAGCTTCAATTCAATTTTTATCTCAGTGCAAGTAAATTTAAGATATCTATATAAATACCTCTCAGTGTAGGCGATACTTTTCATAATTATGAGGTAAACAATGAGTAAATGTGCAGTTGTTACACGCTTTATTCCTCAACACTGAGCGAATTTGCAAGCTTAACAATTTCTCGGCTTCATGTCACTTCAAAAAAATGAAGCACTGGTCAAACTTAGCAATCACTACGTCAGATAACTTTTATTTGGCGTGGTGTATCATATCTCTCTTACGATGACCGTATATTGTTGTGACTGACCACTGTTTTGGGGACAAACATGTAGTGTGTTTGAATAGTATTTAACCTTTGTAAATTTAGGAATCTATATTAAATTGTAAAATTAAAGGGTAAAACCGAAGGTTTCTAGGTATCCAAAGGGTGCAATGAAAACTAGTTAATGCAGATTACCTCTCATGCTAATCAACAAGTCATCCTGTGGAGAAAATACAATTTATGATAGTGTTTCGCTGAAAGCAGAAAAAAAATCTAGCTCCAGCTATTTCAAACACCAAACAGGAAAATGCACTACGGCAAAGTTCTAAACTTTTGGCTTAAACTAGATTTCTTCAAGCTGAGAAAGATATTTAGCTTCAATTTCTTTCATATAAACTAAGACATTCACCAAGGGTTTTGCCCAACTGCCATGTGACTTCTTAATGGGTTACTGTCCGTTTATCGTGTTCACGCTGGCTGAAAAGCTAGGTCTTCTAATCCAAGTCTAACTCGAGTTGAATAAGAGAGCTCAACTAGTACAGTACTGGGCCGGTGGGCCATGCTTTTCTGGTCCAAATCCTGCAGCGACCTAGATTTTTATTTCACTTTCAGTCATCACTCAGTATCCGTAGTACAAGTCTGTCAAACCACAACCAAACTGGTAAACTCGGTGGTAGCTGGTTCGAATCCGGCCGCGGTCCAGATTTTCATCTCACCTTTAATCATTACCCAGTACAAAGGAACATTTGACTATGTGCCGGTTATATATGCGTAGCACACTTTCAGAATGCCACATCAACATTTGAAATTTTCTCTATCGAAATGACATTTTGGGTTTTTATACACAATGAAAGTGTTTATAGTTAGCCTTCACCCCGAACTAACATCCGTTGGAGAAGCAGTGAAAATTTAAACACATTGGACAGCTGTTTTGTCCCAGTACGGAACTCTTCAGCAGTTCACTTACACGACCGTTCGAGTAACTGAGCCTGGGACCATCAGACCTCGTGGTGAACACTTTATCATTCAGCCACAGATTTGGAATCCAGTGATTCACATTTTTCTAATTTTGCAGACCAATCCCCACAAACCTCTGAATTGAAAATTTTAATTTTTTTCTATTTCTGTTTCCATACTGCATTACTTCTCTCACTGCTTCCTTGCTTACTGTGTTCAGTATGTGAATATTGTACCATTAGTACTGTTACAATCACTCTTTTAGCACTACCCCAATTACCTAGCTTTCGATTGCCTTGCAGCTTGGTGTCTGACTATTTAATATTCTATGAAGAACACTGATATACTCCTTTCCCAACATGTTTTAGCATCTTCATCAACCTTTCCGGTGTTTTATTTCAGATGACAAGTTTATTGCTTTTGTTTTGGCAATAAATTTTTCATATCATAGCTTGCACTATTATATTGAATCTGCGTTACGTCATCTCAAATATGTTCAAGTGTATAAGAAAATCAGCAAAAAACTTAACTGATATTTATGAATTTATTATATCCTACTTTCTTAGCTTCTCTGGTTTATTGGAAACATACCAGAACAAGTTTCTTTGCAGTAGCTTTGATACTGATTTGGCTTTTGTTTTATCAAACGCTTAAATAATATCGCTTAATTAAAACACTGCTTATTTTTTCAAGAGGTCCGGCTTTTCTAGCCTGAATATATATCTTCTACACAGTAGCTACAATAAATATGTCTAACTGTTTGATGTGGATTTCTATACTAAACTTGAGAAACTTGAGAGATTACCGATGAAAATGGATAAGGGCAACACCAATGTTTTGGATGGTGTGATTCCATGAATTTTATATTAGTATTGTGTGTAGGCACTTAACTATCACATTCGACATCTATCAGTAATTTTCGTCTAGTCAAATAGCTGATCTTTCTTAATAGTCCCAGTCTTGAAAATCCCCCAAACTACACAACTTCACATTATTATTTAGGAATAGACTGTTGTGCATTTGTGGTTTGTATCATTATCTGTTCTTTACAGTATAACTTAACGAACATCTTTTTCCTATAACGTAATGTATTCCTGTAATACATTCAGGACAGTTTGATCATACACTAATAGATCAAATCAATTTATATAAAAGCAAATAATTAGAGGCGATATACAACAGTTATAATGATAGGGGAATAACACTTAAGAAGATAATGCAAGAAGAATTTAAAGCAACTGGTCCCTTTGATAAATTTAAACACCGTAATGAGAAGAGGAAGATTATCTGAAACATGCGCTACACATTTTGAACAATCTGATCATACATGAACTTGTAGAACTATGTGCAGGCGACCAACATCCATCTTCGTCTATCGCTAAACATATACTAGAAACTGACCATAGGATAGACATGAAAACAGCCTTTAAAGTACAACATAAAAGTGGTCAGAGCTGAGTGCTTAAATTTATTGAAGCTCTTGCCATCCGTAAATTCGAACCTTCTTTATGTATACAAAAACTATTTGTACTCATGTTGAACCTACCTTGGCAGTACTGATTTTAATTTTCATACCAAAATTAACGTAATTAACGTTTTTACTTTTTCTCGCCCTTTTTATTCGTTGTTTCCTACTAACTTCATTGATCCTTTTCGTAAATTTTCACATAAATAGTTCGACAAGAAGAATTATATTTTTGATCCTAATTTTAATATTAATAACCGATAAAGGTTATTACACTAGGTGTGGTGCAAGGACGAATTGCTTCTACACAAACAAAGCTGGTTTCATTTCACTCACAAATCCCCACAAATCTCAAAGTACGCCCTTGGCTGTTTCTATATTTAACTTTGAAGGGTGTTGAAGCAGTAATTCTGACTGGTTTCTATAGTATGTTTGGTAATAAATGAAGAGTGTTTTCTCCCACCGGCATTAATCGCATTGTTCTACTACAGGTGTTTTGAAGCTGATCGGGTACATATCGTCTCATCCATGGCTGGATAGCTTGAATACTCTTTTTTAGGTATGTTCCTACACACCCGTTGGGTTAACTAGTTTACATGCATCAGACATGTTGAAAATATGCATGTATATGTCATTTGGGATACATTTGAAACCTAGTAGTTCTGAACAGTTATTTTGTCTTAGTAAGGGAACTTTTAGCAGTATGAACCCATGAACTAGGAAGATATGGAACTTAGAACCGTTAGGTCTCACGCTGAGCATGTTACTAATTCTCACTTCTTTTAATGAATTCCAGCAGATGACCAACTGAATATATATATATATATATATATATATATATATATATATATATGAAGTAACAACAGTCACTAAATATCAATGACTAATCCAGGCAGAAAAAATAGATGTTCCATTCTGTGAACAAACAATGAGACAACTTTATTTGTATGAAATAACTTGGATAGTTGTCGCTTTTTATTATTTCACTGACATAGAATTTCTAGCATGAGCACACTATGCAGAAGGATTTAGCCAACTATGAGACATTTGAATTCAGACTTTACCTATCATTTGTGCAGAACTCTTGAAAATTATGGCACCCTCTAATACAAATCCTAATTTACTTTTCATTAAAAAAGTTGTGAAGTATTACGCTTGTTTAATCTTAACTTGATTCTCATTCAGTGCTAAGCACTGAGATCTAAATAGCTTCATTGGTTACCTACTAGAGATCAATTCCCGTATTTAATTCAGTCTTACAGCGGATCAGTTTCCACCTTAATGGCTAAATGATTAAACCTCCAGTCCCAGCAGTAACTGGTGAAGGTTTTTAACTATTGATGGAACAGTTTACTGAGAGTTGCGGTTTCCCTTTGCTGATGAGTGCCAACAAGTTCGAGACCTTGGAGCATAATATCCTCCCAGATTGGATTCGAACACTTAACGTCAATGTTTTCAACCTTTGCGATGAATAAATAACCTGATTTAATAATACAAACTTTGTTTTCAGTATGCCTGTTAGATATTTCTATTCTTGAGAGATGTCAACTAGAGAAAAACAGATGACAACTGGTAGTATTTAAGCGTTATAGAATGGTTATATTCACAAAGCTCACAAGTGAAAACGCTTGCGAACCGTGAGCTACTGGCGAATGGCAGACACTTATTAGTAGTTCGTATGTAGTATATGGGGATAATCTTTCTCCGTCAAAATTAATGGGATCATAAAATAACGGCAAACCACAGAATTTTGCTTAAAATAGGTATTAAACTGCAGTAACATAGTCAACTGTAACAGAAACTTTGTAAGGTTGGGTGCGTCGATGTAAAATTCGAGTATTGTAAACATACTGGAATCGCATACTGGTATATAATACTTCACCAGTATTGAATGCCCTAATTTATGAAAACAACATGATAAGGCTGACTGCTTTTCAAACGAAAATGA